AGCATGCATCTTTTTGAGTTTTCTATAGGCAGTGAGAATTTTTTTAGAAACATCAAATAACTCTTCATAAGTTAAGTCACATACCTCTTCTTAATCTGACTGATCAATCATTTTAGACATTAAGCACAAGTTGGTTACTTCCTCCTCTGCTTCTATTTTTGAACAATTTGAAGCTGAATCTGCCCAAAATGCTCTTTGCAATCTCTTCTTGTCCTTCCTTACATTGCTTTTCTTCTCAACCTTCTCCTTGCGAGGAATTGTTTTAAGATTTGGGCATTCAGACTTTATGTGTCCAGGCTTCTTGCATTCATACAAATTACATCATTAAAAGCCTGATCACTCTCCAAGTCATCCACTTTTAAAGCTATGTTCTTCTCCTTTCGCTTCTCACCCGCAATAATCTATCTTTGAGTCACTCCTTACTCGTAAGCAATTAGTGATCCAATAAGATTGGCAATAGAATAAACATTTAAGTCTTTAGACTCCAGTAAAACAGTTATCTTTACATCATAAGTAGTAGACAAATAATTAAGTATCTTAGCTACTTTCTCAGCATTTGTTAGTTCCCTATCTAAAGCATGTAAGGAGGTAACTATTTATGTGAAACATGTATACATATCAGTGATTGATTTATTTGATTTTATGCATAACAGTTCATAATTATGTAGCAAAATATTCAATCTAGATTGTTTCACATTGTTAGTCCATTCATATGTGATCCAAAGTCTATAACAAATTTCTTTTCTACTACTACAGGTAGAGACACACATATAGTCTTCATATTTAAGTGCACAGAAAAAACTATTCAAATATTTAGCATTTAACAAAGCTAAGTCTCATTCTTCTACAGTTTAGTCAGCAAATGGTATTTCAATTTTAATATTATCTACAAGTCTAGTTGGCCTAATATATCTTTCATGTACTAAAATCCACATGTGATAGTCAAGCGATTAAAAAAAGTAGACATACTTGTTTTCCAAAAATTGAAAGGGATGTTATCAAACAATGGGTGTCAAGTGATCGAATACCCTTCAAGTGTGTTACAGTTTCCAAAAGTAGCCATGATCATTTTCAAAAAGTTGTCTAAATCTTAATTTTTTGAAAGTAGGCTCTAATATCACTTGAAAATCCATATAGATAGTTAGACCTAAAGTGATTGTCCTGATGCTAACTAAGAGGGGTGGTGAATTGGTAATTTTTAAAAAATCTCTTAAAAATTTTATAGAAAATTATTTTATAATTTTTTATATAAAGAAAATTTTTTCAAACAAAAAATTTTTCAACCACAAAAATAAAACGTGTAGAAGAATAAAATTACGATAAAATATAAAATATTGAATTTTATAGTGGTTCAATTCAACTAGAACTATGTCCACTCCCTGAATACTCCCTCTTTAGGTATTATACTATACTAAAGTGACTCTCTTTTTACTCCCATAGTAAGGTGAAAAAGCCCTTACAATAATCTCTCTTCCACCAAACCTCAGTGTGACAGAGTACCATCGTCCTTTCTAACCCTCCTGATGAGGCAGAGAATGACGTCTTTTCTCACCCTCCTGGTGACGGTAGAGTACTGGCATTCTTTTTCACCCTCCTCTTGACAGTAGAGTACCAACATCCTTTTTCACCCTCTTGGTGATGGCAGAGTACCAAATCTTCTCCATATCTTCTCTTAAGAGTCTTTAAGGAAATAGGAAAGAGATTTGAAGAACATACAAAGAAATTCTCACCTTTGGGTAACCTTGTGAACCCTTCACAATTTTCAAAAGCAAGATCCCTCAATCCTCACTCCCAAATACTCTCCCTAAACACTCTCTCTCAAAAAGAAAATTTGTAGAAGATGCATTGACAGTCAGTTTATAGGACTCTTGTATATAAAAGACAGAAAAAACCATCCAGAAAACTAAAAATTTCAAGATGAACGTACTTGGATTGTATAGTACGATTGTCTTCATAAGTACAAACAATTCAAAAAAATCCTTGTATGGTATTGTACGAACTGATTTTAATACTATGGGCGTAGTCTATAAAAATTGACATTGTACAGTACGAAAAGTTCAAAAATGAATAGATTCGTCCAATTCGATAATGTATGAACTCATTTCATGCTCTGGTTGTCATTTGTACGAACCATACATCGTACAATACAAACTAGTTAAATAAAATCATGCTTCATATGGTACGAAAATGGACAACTCCATTTCGTACTCTAGATGTTGCATGTATGAAACTAATTTCATACACCACAATAAGGCCAAAAAAATTACTTATTCGTATAGACGAACTAGTACGCACCCATTTTATACTCTGGTTGTCGTATGTACAAAATTAATTTTGTACAGTACAAACAGTTTAGAAAATGGTGAGTTTGTTTGAGACGAACTAGTACATATCAATTTCATACTCTAGGCGTCATCTGTCTGAATCTAACTTCGTACAATACGAACAGTTCAATTGAAAATTTCTAAGGCATGATTCAATTAACTTCTTTTTGGAGAAACACTTAGGTCAAATCATCCCATACGATTCCAAAATCTTACATTACGATTAGTTTTAAAAAATGCAAGTTTTGACTCACTCCCCTAGTATGTGTGCCCACGGTTACCCAATTATAATCACACTCTCTCAAACTCAAGAAAAAAGAGAAAAAGTACAGATTTCAATTACAGGAAACCCTAATCTAATATGTGTTAAAGTCTCCGGCAGTTTGGAGTATGATTTTCCTAAAATATTAGTACACACAAACAACGCAAACAAGATTTTTCCAGTATGTGTTAGGGAAATAATAATCAACGCAATAATATTTTGGTATCATAAAAAATTCACATGATATAAAAGCATAGATTTGAAAACTGAGTTGCAACAACCATAATCTCAGACATGTTTGCACACCTCAACTCTTTGATAAAAATAATTTTATATTTAAATATATTTTCTGCGAAAACTTAAAAAATATTTTTGAGGGAATGAATTAAATTTTCAAATATATAAAATAATTTTCTTATATTTTAAAATCAAAATAAGTCTAATCTCCATTGTAACGTAAAGTTTTCTCTTTGAAGATCTAATCAACTATAGAGGCTTGTCTCTATAGGAACCCAAGATCCTAGTATAAAATAAATCTTGCCTTAGTTTATTAAGAGGGAAAAAATCACTAAATGTCGACTAAAGTCAATCATGGATTAATTTCATATTTAAAATGATATGTAAATGTGAATTTTACCCTACTAGATAATTTTTGACATTCTCTATGTTGATTTTAAATACAAAATAATTCGTTTCTTCCCTCAAATCAATAATGCAGTGTAAGTTCATTCTTCGAGATAATTAACACTAATTGTGCAACTTTTTCTAAAAAAAATATTAAATATCAAATCAAAAATAAAAACATCATTTAATTTGTCCACATTGTTTATTTCAATTTTTATATTTTTGTGTTTTTAAAATTTTTTCGATCAAATTTGTATTTCCATTACAAAAAATGAGGATAATTTTGTTTTGGTAAAATTTTCACTACATAACTTTTTATATATTATAGAGATTGAGATTATGAATATTTTGAATATTTTTCTAAAATTTTTTGCTATGTGATTTTTAAAAAGTAGCAATTTTTACCAATTCAAAATTTTATTTTAACATCTAAAATTAGTACTTTAATTCAAATAAAGCTTCAGAAAGTTGTTATACATAATCTTTGATAATCTAATTATATTTTGAAATTATGAATTTTTGCACAATATTATTTTTTTGCCCACTTTTAGGATATTTTAACCTTTTCTGAATTAAGTCAAATTATGCTTTACTTAATGAAATGCATTTCATCTCAAGAAGTGAAAGGATTTTGTTATGCTAGAGCCAATAGACTACCGAGGTGAGATTCTAGCATGACATGTGATATTATGCCGAAGCTAGTGGACTACTAGGATAAGATTCTAATATGAGATGTGTTATGATAGTAAAGCCTAAGGGTCATTTTAAAAATAACTATAACTCATTTGTTTATATTTCAAATTCAGTACAATCCATTGATTAATTAAATGCATTTAATACCAGTATATATTTTAGTTTCAATTTTTTAAACAATACTTTAATTTATTATTACAATACAAAATGAACTATGTTAGCACACTCCTACTTTTACTTCCTTTTTTAAAATAAAGAAAAGTGTAATGAACGACTTGAGTATTTTTAAATAGCAAACTCCAATCTATGTTATATATACTTAGAAACTACTTACTGCTTAAATTTTAAGTAGCAATAATAACTTTTTTAATTTTTATTAAAAATTAAAAAATTATTTTAAGATGCAATAAAAAAACTATCCCAAACGAATCCTTAATAAGCCTAACAAATTAAGTTTATGACACCAATCTTGTTACCAAATATTCATAATAATCAAATATAAAATAATAATAAGTACATACATTTTATCCAAATTCAAAAAAAAAAAAAAAGTTATGGAAGATGGTAGGTGATGATAGTAGGTGAGAAATGCTTAAAGCCTGTAGCAAACATGCTATTAATATACATAAAAAATATATATTTGCTATTACATTTAATTATTCTTCAATTTAAAATAAAATAAGATTAAAATAGCAATACGTATGTTACAAATTAAGGCCTTTCAAGGTTTTAATCTGCCCACTCAATTTATTTAATTTTCCGATCTTGCGAAACAGATGCAAACGAGCAATCAAAATTTATTTAAAAGGGCCTTCCATATTATTTTTCTTTTTCCAATTTTTTTTTTATTTCTGTTCTTATTTTATTCTTCTATATAAGTATTAATTTCATAAAATAAAAATACACCACAGCCCTTCTTTAATTGCCCATTCCTCGAATTATTTTTAAAATATTAAATAGAATTAGAAAATATTTTAATTGAAATAAAAAATAGCGCCACATTAATTATCATAATAAAAAGCTTTAATATCTTCAAATTTTATAGATTTTCTTTTGTAACTCTAAACATTTTATCATCTTCATCATCCTGATGCAAATTATATAACAACATCTGATAAAATTTTTATTCGAGCTTTACCGTTTCATTTCATCAAAAAAAAATTATAGAAAAATAAGAATGAATGTGAATAATGATCACATCCAAAGTCTCCAAACGCTTACAAATAACTAGTGAGAATTCTATTCATCCCCTATGTTGAAAGTCTTGCAAATCTGAAAAACAAGCAAATGAGCAAATTCAAAATATTTTGAGATAAAAACAAAGCATTAAATGGCATAATGTAAGATACTCTTTTGCTACTGCTTTGAAAATTTTTGAACCAACCACAGGAAATATTCTAATATCTGGAAAACTCTTACTAGCAAATAAGATGGGTATAAATAACCCAGAAACAGCAGAATACCGTTTATTTCTGGCTTTCAGCTTCAACTGGATGAACGATTTCAGCTTCCAACGGCTCGGTGGTTTGAAATTGAGTAGGTTGGTTGGGTGAACCGTGATGGCTTGCTTGAGAAGTTTCTGCCCACCTTCCTCCAATTGCCATGCTCATCATCTCGTAAATCTTTCCTCCAAGCTCTCCTGGGTTATCCGGCTGCAAAGTACACCATTTAAACATAAGAAATGTTTAATGTGAAGAGCTACTGTTACTGGACAGCTCTATTAACAACAACGTGCTATAGCTCTATGTGCAGAATACTGAAATACACTGTTATGTATTCATTGTGTAATCCTTTTTATTTGGGAGTATAAAATTTATATAATGTTGTGCACTCATTTTGTACTGACGTGCAAAACAATATATTCCCGTCATCCGGACATATAGAGCAACGGGTAATGTACACATAAAAATTTCTCCGACCAGTGATAAAAATTCAACAACACAGCACCGCCATCCCAATGTATATTATGCATTAATTTTTTATACATTCTACTGTTCAGGTAAGAAGTTGGTCCTCCAAATTACCTAGCAAAAAATGGCCTCAAGTTATCTTATAAAGGCTAGGTCGAGAATTTTCATACTGGTTAAGGATTTATAGTTTAGGATCTGCTTATTTGGACAATCAGGGTAAGCTTACTAGAATAGAACTTGATACACAATATTATTAGGTTGAATGTATTCATTCAGCCAATAGCTGGATTTCCAAACTACTGTTTAAGCCTTTATGGTTTAGATTATATTTATTTGAACAATCAGGCAAACTGACTAGAATTGAACCTAACGCCCAGTATTAACAGGCTGAAATTATTCAGCAAATATAGCTGTAGCACTCCTGTCTTAAGCTTCATTAGAGACAGCTTTTTTATTGCTTCTTAAAGCAAATTTTTAATACAAAAATTAAATTTTTTATACTAAAAAGCTATTTTAAGAAGCCGTCCCAAACGAAGCCTTAGTGTGGTGTTTTCGCTACAATAAACATTCAAAACGGCCCTTTGACAACATCTTCATATTCACGTCGAGTATATATATATATATATATATATATAATGAAAACCTAAAAATAAAGTTTGCACAATGGTACTCACTGTAAAGCCACTAGCAATCAGAGCTGTGTCATACAGAAGATCAATTGCCCTGAGAGCATCAGGATCATCTGGGTAACTTTTACTAGCAACCTGCCAAATAAAAGATTTTGAACTTGATTATCTTCAATTGATAAGCTATAATCTGGAATCATAGAACTTGATATAATAAACACGCATCCTATCACATCATGCTGTAAAGCAAAAGAAAAAAAATGTAGGAAATAATAAATTGTTAAACGTGGTGCAGACACGGGATTAAAAAAAAGGCTCGAATTAATATCTTTAACAACAAACACATGGTGTTAAAAAAACAATACAAATCAAGCTTAAACAGGACTTTCATTAACAAAAGTTCAATTTCATCATATCTGATACATATCAGTAGAACTTGATGAAGTTCTAAGAATGCTGAGGATCAAGTTTTTTAATAGACAATAGTGAGAAGAAAAGGAATCAGAATATATTTCAAGAGGAAAAAAAAGGACTACTTTTTGGCCGACAAATATGAAACAAAATACGCAACTCCCCAACAAAACAATATTCAGAATCTCAAAGTTGGAGCTATTCATTTGAAAAGCCTATTAAAATTGTTAATTTTGAAAAATCTTATTATTTTTAGGAGATTGTTTTCGCTTCCAAAATTACATGATATGTTCAGACAAAGCAAATAGCCTAAGCTCTCCGACCATGTGAAGTCTTACTTTCAGATTTTTAATAATTGGATGCTCCGGATTAATTTCAAAAACTCTCCTCGAGCGCATGAACTCAAGACTAGAAGCATCACCAAGTGTCTGTGCTTTCATCAACCTGCAAACAATATCAGTAAACCTTCTGAAACTTCTATAAAGAAAAAATATGCCGAGAGAAGAGAATTATTCACCTCTCCATGTTGGCGGACCAACCAAATTTTCCACTAACAAGCACACATGGAGAGGAACTAAGACGGTTAGAAATCTGAACGCTTGCAACTTTGTCGCCCAATTGCTTCTTTATCCAATCACAGGTCTGAACAAATTCTTGCTTGATTTCCTTCTCCTTCTCCTCATCCTTATCCCCTATGGCAAAAAGAAGGGGAAATTCAAAACATAAGCGCTAAAAAAGTATGAATGAAACAGTTTAAAAAAAAAAAGTTAAATGCTTACACAGAAATTATCCAACGGAAAAAAAAAAAGGAATGTCAAAATAAATGGGAGCGCACAATGGGCGAAAGAAATTATTGGAGATTAACGTAGCAAATGAGTAGAGTTTAGCTCAAGTCACCTCCGATTTGAGCTTGAGCTTGATTAATTAATCTACTTTAAGCTTGAGCTTGATTTTAAAATTTTCAATCAGCTCACAAACTGACTCATTTATTATGAAAAAAGAAAAAAAAAATTTGATTCAAGAAATTGCTATACAAAAAATGGTAAAAAAAGAGAAATATAAAAAAAAGATTAATAATAACAAAGAATTACTTGATATAAAAAAGTGATAAATACTTTTTAAATATTTTTAAAGCTCTTTTTATTTAAGTTATGGAATATTAATATACATTAATATCTTTTAAAAGAATCGGCTCGTGAGTTAACGAGTCAAGTAGGAATTAGCTGAAGTTTGACTCGTTAGCACATCAACCTTGGCTCATGAGCAATTTATCGAGACCAGCTCGACCCAGCTCACAAGTAAGCTTGAATCACTCATACGCTTTTTTCATGCAGCCAGAACTTTTGCTAGAAAGCATATGGAAGTCTATAAAGAATAGGCAAAGGAAGAACTCACAGTTCTTTTAATTTTTAACCTTTATCACCATACATTTGAATTACTAGTTGGGATAAGGCGTTCGATGATGATGGTAATGGTGGTGCTTATAATACATTTAAAATAGAAAAACACTGACAAAACAATTGTAACTGACCCAGATCTAAATCCTCCTTGCTAATATCAACAAAATTCTTTTCCTTGTAGGTCTTCAGATTCTGGATAGCAAGTTCGTCCATGGGATCAACTAAAAATAGAACCTGCAAGAAATAACACAATCATAGAAAACATAAAATTAAGTTATTCATAGAGATTGAAAACAATCCTAATGTCCTGACATAATTCTGCGGAATCATGGAATCCATTTTAGCTAGAAATTACCTCAAAGTCCTTCTGAGAAAGTTTCTCTAGGAAAGGAGCATTTTTTGCGCTCGTCAAACTGTCCGCAGCAATGTAGTAGATATCTTTCTGTTCTTGCTTCATACTCTCCACATATTCATCTAAGCTGATCAACTCGTCCTCACTTTGAGATGAGAAAAATCTAAGAAGCGGTGCAATGCGCTTGTGGTTTGGATGATCTTCGATGCATCCCAATTTCAAAAATTTGCCAAAATTATCCCAAAATTTATCATAATCCTGAGATATAGGGAGGCATTAAACAAAAAAAAAAAAAAAAAACAGTTAAATGCTTAGCAAAATAAAATGCAACTCAGTCGTAAAACTATCCAAATTAACAAAAATTACTCTAGCTTTTAGTTCAAGAAAAAACTATATGCTTACATCTCTGTTCTCACTAAGTGAAATTCCTAATATCATATCAAAGGCCTTGCGAACTAGCCGTTTCCTCATGATCCGCACCTAGGCATGTGAAAGAATGCAGTTAAGGTAAATACATAAACACAGCCTATTATGAAAATCATGTTAGCATACTTACAATGCGGCTTTCTTGAAGGATCTCACGTGAGACATTCAGAGGAAGGTCATTTGAATCCACAACGCCTTTCACAAAGCTCAGATATCTTGGAAACTATTTATATAAATAAAATTTGTTTTTAGCAACCCATAACAAAATATAGCAATCGTTTTGGGTAGAAATAATTTGCTCACCAGTTCCCCATCAAAGTCATCTGATATGAATACGCGTTTAACATAAAGCCTTATGTTCTTTGTTTTTGTATTCAACATATCTTCTCTTTTCACAGGAGGCACAAACAAAATGGACCTGAACTCCACCTCTCCCTGCAATTACAAAGACGTCTGTTATATGAAATCAACTAGAAAGCAATACAAAAACATCAAGGCACCATAAAAAAGAAGCTTAAATTTTGCATACAAGAATTTCTTTCATATGGGCATTTGAATCATTCAAAACGCAAAAACAGTTTTCAAAATCGTCTTTAAAAATGACTAAATGTTGTTTTTTATTTATTTATAAGGAAATATTTCATGAAAATTCGCAGGTGTTAATTTGTAACTATCAATAGATATGAAGCATATGCTTCCATTTAATCAAATTTTTTTTACTTCAATGTTTTCCAATAGCCAAGAATAAATGTAAATGACAGCATCATGTGGGCTCCGAAAATTCGGCCCCGGCCTCCCCTCGCTTTTTTTTTTTATTCGGCGAGGGAGTTTTAACTGAATAAGTTCCGGAGTAAATTTTGGAAGGCAGATGGGTTTGTAGATAAGACACTGCCCAGAGATTTCGCCCTCATTTTGTGAGGACTTTATGATCTGAGTTCTGGTTTCCTATAGGCGCAAGCCCCTATAGTTAATTACCCCTCCCGATCACGAGAAAGAACTTTTGATTAAGGCTAGTCGTCAATCAGATATGTAAAGAATACGTGTTATCTGGCATATAGTAGCAGCATGGATTCAGATTTGAAAATTGGGTATGATTTTGGTGTTGTGAAGAGAGTTTGATATTTAAAATGGGAAATTTCACCATCTCACACTCAAAGCGGATGGTGGGGGAATGGATGATGGACCCGATCAAGATCCCATGGTTCCGTCGTCCCGGGCCATCATGGTCGTTGGTCTACTTAGTCAGAGGAGGTAGTCGACCCAACCTGACAGAAGGATCCTTATCGGCAGCCATGGGTTGCTTCGTCTAAGGGGACCTTGTAGACCTGGGTTGGATGTTTGTCTAAGGGGACAAATTTGAATCCACCTTAGCTAACAGAGGGCTTTGTGCCCTATCGATCATATCCTATTGATTCATATCTCAAGTATTTAATGCCACTATGGAGCGTATTGGCTCTGGCCATAACCGCTATCTGTGGTGCCATTTGGTGGCAAAACCACTCGGTTCGGAGGGCCCCGGGTCATAACCGTTTACCTGCAGTGTCATTTGGCGGCGAAACTGCCGGTTAGAGGACACGAACCACGTCCTTACTGGCAAGAGATTATTTGAGAATGGATCCTAGTGATATTTTCGACTAGGCATTTGGCTCTATGTGAGCTAGAGTTTATTTGAATTTGTCCACCCCGGCAGACTGTTGCGGAGGGATGATGGGCTTTGCTTTAAGTGTTGGGATGGATAATTTCATTTTTAAATATTTTTGGAATTTTGGGATTTTTTGGAGTTTGGATTTTGTGTGGACTTTTGGGAGGCATTTGAAAATGCCTGAAATTAACCCCTCCGGTTGAGATCTTTAATCAACGAGGCCATCATCGGGGTGTTTGGGGTCATTTCTATTTGTAACTTGAATCTTGTCAACTCAGCCGAGCTATTGACTGAGTATCGGGTTTCGTAGGCTTCGTGCCTTTATTAGTGAATTCATATTGTTATAGGCCTTGAAGGCCTAATATAAATGTTTTAAAGCAAATATACTGGTCACCACAACTTTATATTTGCTTAATGGTTCGAACCCTGTCGACTTCTATTGACCCGTATAGAAGGATCGATTTTGAACCTGAATTCACTTGTCAACCCGCGCAGCATCCCTAGACATCACGTGTGTACCAATAGCACGCTCGCCGGGGCCCATGCGGGTATTTGATTACATTTACCCCTTTTAGTGTGCATATGTGTATACAAACTATTGTGCACGTGCGGGGGTATTCTTGGAATAGACGCTTTCTGTCTGCTTGTACGAATGTTGCAGATACGGTGGCGTGACGTAGCAGCTTCTGAATAGAATTATTCGCTGCTTCGTACAGGTAGACTGTCGTGCACTACTCATTGCTTTCTGCAGGTGGATTGTGCACTAACTAATCTCCTGCCTTGGCTATAATGCTTGCCTCTATCACAATTCTTTTACTTCTTTGCTCTAGGTCTTTAATCTTCGATTGCACTTCTAGGCATCGGGTCCCCTACAAATACTTGTAGGTATTTGCATTTATCACTGTATGTTGTATGCATGACAAGTTTCCTTATGCCTTTGTTGCAATTTTTTAATATTTGCTATACACCTACTTTTGTTGTTTATAGGCACGTAGATGCATTCATCTATAGCTTGATGTGATTGCAATGATGATGTAGCCTCCATTACCTTCTACTACACAGCTTGTAGGTGCATGCGCTTGTTCTCAATTTCTCCGTGTATGTTGAGAGATGAACTACCACATTGACCTATACATCTCCTAGTATTTGTAGGAATTACTATATATATTCGCAAGACATTTGACGTTGATCATAGAGACTTTCACATTCTCTTGCGTGACTTATGTGGATTTTACACATTGATTGTCGTCATTCATATGCAGCTTGCACTATTATTAAGGGACTTTATACAACTGTTTGCAATCAATCAAATTACATTTCCTGTTCTCTGCTTGTACCTTTGCCATATTTATTACACATGATGGTGGACCCGTCATCATGGTCATCACACACTTTTTTTAGTATCCTTCATTCTGAGAAATTTATTGAACATGCTATTGATTATCCACCATTCATAAGAGACCTTTCAATTCAACGCTTGCATTCTGATTAGAAGATAGTTTCATTGAAATCTTGATTATTCTTCAAGAAATCAAATTCCTCAAGAAATCAAATTCTTTATCACTCCTCCATTTGATGTTCATTTGAATGCATGTCATATATCATGTGCCCTTTGTTGACTTTGAAGAGAACTCACATCTCATGTGGTAGATTCACATATTGATGTTTGTATGATGATCATTTGATATTTCATTGAAACTCAGCTATTGATTGTAGATACATCATTGCATCTCCCTTTAAACTTTAGTTCATTGTTTAACATCTTTGAGTTTATCTTTATAATCACTCAAATTGTACTCCTTATGAATCAATTGAGTTCTGTGTCATTTTTGAGTTAAGTGCAAGTTTGAGTCCACATTAGATCCTTTTGCATTTGTTCACTTGGGTTCAAGTTATGACATATTCCTTGACATTCCAGTTGAAGTTTTGATATCATTTTCAAGTCAAGTTCTCATTTGGTTCAAACCAAGTTCACAAGTCTTAAGTGACATTGTTCTATTCAAATACATGTCCACAAGTCCTCTGTTTGAGTTCAAGCTCATTTTCATTTTTCTTGGGTTCAATTCTTTATTAAGTCATTTAGATTTTGTTCAAGAGTCCAAGTACAAGTAATCCGTCATTCTTCTGAGTTCAATCAAGTCCAGGTCCCAAATTGTTACAAGTCCTTGTCTGTATTTCAGACAAAAATTCGACAGCCTCCCGGCGTCTCCCCTGTTTGGGGGAAAAACCAAGAGGCCGCCTACCCGCCACGTCACTAAAGACGTGCACGGTTGGTGTTGGTGAGACACCGCGGCGGTTGTATATGTTTTTCTCCCACCACGCGCAATAAAGGCGTGCATGGGGTTTTTTAAAAAGGATTTTTGAAAAGCAATTTTTTTATTTCCCACCGCTTGGAGGTACTTATGAGGGACCCCGCTTCGCCGTACGTGCCGCACCGGGGTCCCATCCCACCACGCGCACTAAAGGCGTGCTTGGGGCGATTTTCCAGTTCGCCACGAACATTGAAACAGAGTTTTGAGTTTAGAAGAATTTGTACCTTCGTGGGGTTATCGGTGTTGACACGTGGATCGAGGGGTCACTCGCCTACCTCGTCGTAGGTGTCGCACCGGGTTCCCTCCTACCACGCTCACTAAAGGCGTGCTTAGGTGGTTTGTCAGTCCAACATGAACGCCGAGGAAGGACATGGAAGGGGATTTTTTTATTATTAATTATAATTAACATTAAATAAATAAGGTTAATTAAATAATTATTCTTAATTAATCATTCATTTTTTTATTAATTATAATTAATTAAAATTATTAAGATTAATTAATATAATAAGTTATAATTAATTTAGAATTAATTATAACTTAATTAAAATTAATTAATTTTAATAAAATATAATTAATTAATATTAACTAATAATAATTAATTTATAAATTTTGATTAATTAAAAATAATAATTTTAATTAATTACATTTAATTAATATAATTATAATTAGATTATTTATAATAATAATAAATCCCTTGGCTCGGCGGATTTGCAGGATTTGGTCGTGGACGTGCGTGAGAGGGAGAAAGTTACCTTCACTTTCAGCGAGCTCTTGTTGGTGCTTCCGATCAAAAATGTCGTACCTCCCGATCTGACAGAACAGGGATGTCGTCGAGAGAGGTAGAGGTAGGTCGGTCTTCTTCCTCTCTCTCTGGACGGAGGGGATCGGGACGACCAAGAGGTCGGGCAAGGCTCCCGATCAAGTAGGCTTCGACGGGATGAGGGCTATGATCGGAGGTAGCTCGGGATCGTGGATTTCGGCTGAATGGGGTTCGGCGAAATGGAGTGGGGATTCCGTTTGCTGGAGGAGATGAGCGAGAGGAAGAGTCGGAGGAGAGGAATGGAGGTCATGGGAAGAAGCAGAGGGATCAGAAGCTTACAGGGATTCGACGTGTGGAAGAGCAGCCGAATGATCCCTTTGAGTCGGTATTTAACGATGCGAGAGGGAGCGAAATCGAGGCCATCGTCGCAGGTTTTATGCAGGAATTCCGGGAAGTGATGCAAACGGTGCCGATTCAGCAGGATTCATTGCGGGATTTCTGCAGTATTTGCGCAGGTATGGATTTGAGCGTGTATTTTCATTTCTTCCTTCTCTTTTTTTTTTTTTTTTTTTTTTTTTTTTTTTTTTTTGATTTCATACTGAGGTCAACACATCACAAAACCCAGGGGTTTCAAAATCAATCATCATAACTCATTGAAACATTAGCAAGACTTCACAAAGCATCACTAACACAAGTGCATACAAGAACGATAATATGTAAAAAGCAGACAGCTCCTAAAAAACGAAAAACAAAAAACCCTACATAGCATGTGTTTGCATAGCATATTCTAGCTCTGAGTTCTATATTTAAACTATCAAATTAATATTCCTTAGTGGCTCTTTGTATTGCAATTTAATGAGTCTAATGAACTTAAAATTAAAGAGCCAATAAAACTGTGTCGTTCAAGGAAGAACAACGTCAATATCATTACTATTATTTAAAAAAGAGCTTGAAACTTTACCCTCAATTCTATCTCCAAATATTAATCTTTAAAGAATCCACAATAGTCAATCTTTCAAAATCTCAGTTGGATGGAAATTCCAATTAGGCTCGCAAAACAATCTCTTACAAAATATTGGCGATCAAATAAATCTTAGCAAGTCCTTTTCAGTATGATCATAATCAGTTTTTTACCTAATGCATGCCTGACTCTTACTCCCTTTTTTCTATTTATTTATAGCTAAAATTTAATAACTGCATAATACGAAGTTAAGTGTTGCAGAGATGAGGATGCTTAGGTGGATGAGTGGCTTGACCCTTAGAGATAGGATACGAAATGAGCATATACATGAAAAGGTTGGAGTAGCTCCAGTGGAAGATAAGATTAGAGAGAGTCGCCTTAGATGGTTTGGTCACATTAAACGGAGGCCTTCCGATGACCCAGTTAGGAAAGTTGAGGTATTGGATTTGACTTATGTTAAAAAAGGTAGAGGTAGACCTAAAAAGACTTGGTTATAAAATATTAGAAATGATCTTTCTTTATTAGATTTAAATGACAATTTGACTTTTAACCGAACACAATGGCGAAAAAGGATTCATGTAGCCGACCTCACGTAGTGGGACAAAGGCTTGATGTTGTTGTTGTTATTGTTGTTGTTGTAAAATTTAATAACTGCAACATTCATTCCATGGCATAAAGAGAAGAAAGTCGGCACAGCTTCATCATTTTAATTGTGTTTAACATGCTAATTAAATAATGTTTAAGCATTGAGAATCCATACATTTTTTAAAAGTATATCATAAGCTTCAATTTGGTCGAAGTTCATGCACATGCATATGACACGTCCTGTCATCTCAAAATAAAGAGCCAACTATTTCGAATTCAATGTGTCAGCACAAGAAAGGAAAACATTACATCTCCCCAATGCACTCCAACCATAAAAAATAATAATTTTGATTGCATAAAGTAGTTTTTTTCCTGAATTGATTATCTAAAAAACTTGCATGTATTTGAATCCATAAAGCCAAAAAAACACTTAAAAATTCTGCTAATCAACTTGGAAGACAATAGATGCTCTTGAGTGTAAATGTTTGAAGAGCACACTAGTTTCAGTTCAGAAGGAAATTCCCTAGCTTGTCATCAGAATTCCAAAGGTTTGCCCTCAGATATAATTAAGTAAACCAGTAGATATTTTGATCCCATGTGCAAAAGTTGAATGCACACTACTATCTCAACAAACCTTGCTATGCTAAATTATTTAAATCAAGTTTCTATGCTATGGGAAACAACAGACTTTCCAACTTGTAAATGGCAATATAGTGATATATATCATAAATCGAATAGTTTGTGTTTGTCAATAACACAATAATTTCTTTGCAAAGCTTGGTAAAAAAACTTTAAAAATAAAGCATGACATAAAAAGCACCTCGGTAGTAAAATGCGAAGAAGCCAAAGGATCTAAATATTCATTGAACGTCTTCTTGTAGAATTCATTGTACTCATCCGTTGTAACATCTTTAGGATTGCGAAGCTGGAAAAACATGCTAGCATTAGCATACAAAGTTTGCTTGTAAGGAAAAAAAACAAGAAAACATATAAATGGAGATTAGATTTTCTAAGAGAACTTACCCATATTGGCTGCGTCTCATTGATAAGTTCCCAATCCCAATATTTTTCAATAACCTTTTTGGTCTTCTTTTTCTTCTGCAGGTCAATATGTGTTTGTTATCAATCTATAGACAACTTTATTAAATCTATGGATAACAAAACAATAACTTAGAATTGTGTTAATAGTACCTCAACATTACCATCTTCTTCTGCATCCTTCTGAGCTTCTGTTGGATCCTCCTCAATCTCAACCTGCAACATAAGTATAATCAAGTAAACCTTGACAAGAAAAATTAACTAGACCTTTCATAAGCATTTAGGAACCTCAAGAAAACTTCAACGTATTAAAAAAGCTCAATACAAACCTCTTTAGTGAAACCTTTCTCTTTCCAGGTAAAAATTGGGAAGGAGACAAACTGAGAATAATTCTTGATAAGGTTTTCGATTCTTTCAGGATGAGCAAATCCCTTGTCATCACGCTGATATTAGAATAAATCAAGATAAACATCCAAACACAGCCTTTGAAGTACTTATTCAAATTAGACACAAGAAAAGCACGCTGCTGCAAACCTTAAGATATAATGTAATGCGAGTTCCTCTTGGGATAAGTTTATCCTGGTCTGTCTCCTCCCTTATTGTATAAGAGTTAGCATTAGCTTCTCCTTCCCAAACAAACTGCTTCTCCGATTTTGGACTTTTTGTTGAAACAACTACCTGTTAATGACATTAAAACAGATCGTGCATTCATCTAGTTGCTAGCAATGTTTGGAAGAGAACATGGGAAGTGGGGCATATCAATATTCAGTTTAAATTCGAAAAGAATTGATCATATTAATATTAATGATATAAACAGACTAATGAAAATAGCTCATGTGGGAATGCCATTTGCCTTGCAAAAAGATAGCAAGCATTAAGATCCTGTAAAAAAGATGAGACACAAAGAATAAGCATACCTTGTCAGCAACAAGGAATGCTGAGTAAAATCCAACCCCAAATTGGCCAATTAAATTGCTGTCAGCACCAGCTTCCTTACTATCCTGCAAGAGAAAAGGCGGCTAGCTGTTTAAAACCTCATTCGAAGTCAAAGCATATCCCATCATTTTAGAAAGATTGAAAAAACTAAAAAAGTTGCTCCTTTTAATATCCACAACCTTCAATGCCTTGAAAAACTTTGCTGTTCCACTCTGAGCAATAGTTCCAAGACAATCAACAAGCTCCTGCCTCGTCATTCCAATTCCAGAGTCACTAGAAAGTGAAACCAATTTCAAAAAGTTACTATGTCAATGCAATAACTCTTAATTGTTTCAAAAAAAGAAACAGAAAAATCATTTTTTTATTTGGAGAAATTGAAAATTAAGAATTAAAAGCAACAAATGCCACATAGACTGAAACTTAGAAGACTCACGTCAGAGTTATTATTCCATTGTCCTTGTCAGTATGAATGCGAATGTCAAGATCAACAGCATCCCTCAAAAGTTCAGGCTGAGTAACACTCAAGTAACGCAGCTTGTCTAGAGCGTCACTAGCATTACTGTGACATAAGAAAAGTCATTGTAATAAGTCTCCCCATGCGATCACCAGAGACTCAGTATTGCATGGTTTTTAGAAGGTGATATGAAATAACACATGACAAAAGAAAGGCTCTGAAATTACCCTTCCTTCTATATGCCATTTAACTTACCTACAGTGATAATGTTTAGTGAACAACATCAATCATTCAAGGGATAAAAGGAACATGACAGGGTTGCCAGTTGCCACATTATCAGAACGGAGCAATAATATATTAATGTAGATGTTCATCAAAAGTTGTAGCAAGATATTACTACACTAATTTCCATTGCATAAAAGCTTTACAAAATATTAAGAATTTACAGACCTTATCAACTCCCGGAGAAACACTTCTTTGTTGCTGTATAAGCTGTGAACTATGAGATCCATGAGACGACTAACCTACAAAACAGAACGTAGATGAACAACATTTGTCAACCTAGCACTGATGTCCTGAAATGACAGATCAGATAAATGAGTGCAACAGTGCAATAGCTATCAACATATCAAAGCTGCAGAAATAGTATCATTTCTATCACCATTTAATGCTTTAGCTTGGACTACATACCTCAGCCTGGTACTCATATTTCTCAGATGGCGGATCAGACGAATCAGCTGCAGTTGCAGTTGACTCATGGAGTTTGCTGACTAGATTGCTATTTAAGGCCACCGAGCATCCAAAGCGGGAAACTTTGGAAGCAGACAGCATCGAAAACCATCGAAAGGAAAATGGAAGATATTTGGATTCATGCTCCAAAACCTACGCAAATTATAAGAAATAAATAAAGCTAGGATATGTCACAGGTAAGAGGTCATATACGCTTCAAATATGAATGAACATGTGTCCCATTTGTATGAAATTAGGATCAATGAAAAGGCATGTTTGCTCTTGAACAGAGTAAGTTAATGCAGACGTATGTTTAATGCAAAAAGGAATGCAATACAGCAGCCCAATAGATTTAGAGACCAAATAACTTGGGAAGGCAGCAGCCAGCAGGGCACAAGTATCAACAATGGAGGACAACTTACAGGGGCCTAAGTGTCACATATATCGAATACAAGAAATACCCAAGCCTTCACATTTTAATGGACAGGTCAAGCCTCCAATAAGTAAAATTCTAGATACCATTTGGCAAACTCATGCAATTACTATCAATTAAACACAGTAAACTTTAAAAAGGTTGAATATTATATGAAAGATTAAATAAAGGGAATGCCGTGCACCTCCTACAAACTCCTACGAAATCGATTCCAAGTTGTTGAAGATCAAGTTCTAAAGAAGAGAGCGTTCATGGGAGATAAGGAAAAAATCAGCCTCACTTTATTTTTTTTCTTTTCTTGCTTATGTAAGAATCACGTCTGGTGCTAAAATTTGACAAATTTTGTTCCCGTTTTTTCGAAAACTACATAATTGTCGTGAAACCTTCGATGTTTTGACAGACTTCCATGGAATGCAATGCCGAGTAGATTTTCTTCTCTTTCTTAAGAATATAAGAATCGCCAGTAAGAAACTTCGAACCGTTTTACAAATATTACATAGTTCTGGCGCTTCGAAGAGATTCCAAGGAGATCAATGCCAAGCCATTTTTTTTCCTTTCTTAATTATTTAAGAATCGCCCCTAAGCACCAAAACTGACAATTTTAATCCTCCTTTTATCAATATTACAAAATTTTGGCAATACCTTAAATGCTTCCAAGAGATTTGATCACCATGGAGATCAATTCCAAGCCGCCCAAATCAAAATTTCAAGTTATAAAAACCAAGAAAAAAGCCAAGAACGGATTTTACCGAGTTCTGAGCGGAAGGGAGTGATGAGTTGTGTGGCAAGACGGAAAGAGCCAGCCAGCTTCGGGGAGCGCAGCCACATGTGCGCACCGCTGCTGAAAGCGAACGCCGTGAAGCGCCAAGCATTCTCCCGTCGAGCTCCTCTCCTCCACTCCGTCACAAGTTCCTTGGGTCGGCTCTTCGCAACCTCAGGCTTAGGGTTTAAGAAGGGTTCTTTGGACACCCTGAAGGTTCTAGAGCAATAAATTATTATCACAGCCGTTCAGGAAGAAAGAATGATTATAACTACAGGTGTAAATGAGGATAAATTATTACATGCGAATACCGGATGAAACACAGCTAATTTTAGTGTATTTGTTAGAGCTTAGTTTTTTTAATTAAGAGATCTTAAATTTAAGTCTTATGTATGTAATGTATATGAATATGTCTTAATTGACTTATATTTGGACTTTAATAAAAATATAATGTGTGGAATAAATATTATTATGCATTACTAGTTATTATTGTGTATTATCATATATTTAGTTGCTTATTGTTGTGCATTAACTAGTACATAATAATACACAGTTAATACACACTAATACACAGCAATATTATTGTCTATTGCTATATGTATTGTTGTGCATTATTTTGTATTGGCTAATATATAGAAATTATAAAAAAAATAATAAAGAAATACTTATATAAGAAATTGGGATATAACTTTTTAAATATTTTTAACAACTTTGTATTTAAATCCTAAATTCTAATATATTTTAAGTATATTTTATACTAATATTTTTTATACGAGCCAGCTAACGAGCTTATGAGTCGAGTCGGGACTTGCTTGAGCTTGGCTTGTTAGCTCATCAAGCTCAGCTCACGAGCCATTTATCGAGCCAAGCTGAGCCAGCACCCGAGTCAACTTAACTCGCTTACACCCTTAATTAGAATTGAAACCAATATTTATTATAACAAAAAGCCAAAAAATTTATGGTTATTTAGTTCCAACTATTCTGAATTATGTTGGTTTCAAATGCAAAATGAAATACAACCTAATTAGAATGCCTACAAATTATATTTTCAATTATAAAATAAATTCATAAGATTTTTTTTAAAATAAAAATAATGAAAACTTTTGTATTATTTCTATTGAGTGCAAAAATATTAGTAATAGTAGAATAAAGAGTTTAACTTCTTAGATTTGTATGAAGAATAGGTAGGCGTGCAAATTTTTTACACGACCCGAAACCCAACCCGAACCCAACCGGAAAAAATCTGTGTCAGGGTCAACCCGGACCTGAAACGAGTCGGGTTAGGGTTCAACAAATCAACTCGCTTTAAAAATCGGGTCGGATTCGGGTTGACCCAGCAACTCAAAATTGACCCAAAATTGACACGAAACTCGTATTTGAACCGAAAACCCAATATTGACCCATTTTGTACCCGAAAAACGAAGATTGACCCAATTTTTGACTAGAAAACTAGCAATTTTGGGTCAACCCCGGGTCATTCGTGTCGGGTCGAGTTGACCCGGACCTGAATCGGGTCAGGTTCGGGTTGACCCGAATAGTGCAAGGTCAGTTCCGGGTTCGACTCAAACCTGACCCGTTGACCCGAATTGACACTCCTAAGAATAGGCATACACACACACACACACACACACACACACACACACATATATATATATATATATATATATATATATAGCTCATAAACTGGATAGGACCTAACAAAATGGTTAATACTAACATGCAAGATATCTTGATTTCTAGAAGTTTTTTTCCATGTAACTTTTAGTATATTATAAATATAATTATTTTGCACATCTTGACATGATCATATTGATATTTCATAGAATATTTTTATAGTTGATGCATACCCCTCGAAAAAAAATAAGATAAAGATGTATACACAATTAATATATAATTAATGCATGAAGATATGACAAAATGATATACATGCATGTTAAATTTACCTGGCATACCATAAACAGTGGCCGAACATGCATAGTTGACATGACATTTGTGATTTAAATGGTATAATATGTATGGCTACAATATATATATATATATATATATATATATATATATAAACATTATAGATGAAGGTGTGTATAAACATTAATGTCAAAAATGAGCGATAGAGTTACTGGGCATCGATTTTTCGTGACAACAATGTACATCAACTTTATATGAAATATCGTAAGTCAACATTATTATTAAGGAAGTTAGTAGTCATTGATGTATGTTGATGACGCGCATTATTTTTATAGGCAATATCATGCATTGATGTTCTTGGCAATGGTGATCAATGAAGTTGACAAGCCTCAACATTTGTGTCGACAAATGCATTAACCTTATAAGTGATATGTGTGCCAATGTGCTTCAGTGTTTGGGTCGACGACATGCTTCAATCTAATAAGCTATGACATGCACGGTGATTTTGACGACAATGGGAGACGAAGTGGATGAGCATGGTGTTTGTATAGACGTTGTCATCAACCTTATAAGTAAAAATGTGCGTCGATGTTATTAATAATCATGTAAGATAATAATCAAGCAACAGTGTAGTCAGTCGACCGTAGTTTGTGATGTTGGTTATAAGATAATAGTTGGATGACAATTGTCGAGCAACATAAGAAAAATAGTTGAGAAAAAGCAGTTATTCACAATAATCAATGTATCAAACATTGGATGGAGCTCTATAATTTTGAAATTTATGAGCTCTATCCAATTTCAAGTAAAGATCCAAGTCCCTTTGTTGTAAAGAAAGGTGGTTAATTGATAGTTGGTTTTGTGTCACTTTTGTAACAAGTATAAATGCATGTCCACATGGTGCACATAAATAAAAAATATTAAAATAAAAAATAATATAATTAAATTTAAAATTAAGTTGTGACATGCTATATTAATGATATTATCTATACAAAAAATGAAATCATTTTGTGAAACTCAAGCACAACTTTATCATCATCCAAACAGGCGATCCAATTAAACTATTTACAAAATATAACAATATTTTATATGGAATGAACAAGCAAAGCTTGAGAGATACAATGTAACTGAAAGATTTAACAATAGCCAAACTAAAAAAAGCAATCGTTAAATAGAAAGCGTCAAACAGAATCAAAATAAGCTTTATGATAGAGTACATTCATAATGCATTAATTCAAAAGAAAAAATATCGTTGAATTCAAAATTTTCATCAGGTAAAAGACACTAAAAAAACATTTTGCTTTTGCCCCTTCTCGTAATGTAATATTAGTTAATTAACTCTTTGAAACCTACTTTTCTTTAGCTTTTCGATTTTCAGAATCTTCTTCACATTCTTCTACTCCCTAGCAAAAATGTCTCGAATAATCCTATAAACAAACATGTATTATCATATTAATCATATCAATGAGATAAAAAAGAACTCTATTATAACAAAACCAACCTTTCCTGGGCGAATCCACCATACAAAACCCCACCATAAGCACGATGAACTGTTATGCGATTCCTTGCTAATCTACTTCTCTTGTACTCAGTTGGTCTTAAGTGAGGAATCTAAATGTGCTAAAAGTGCAATCAGCCCCCATTAACATGAAGCAACTATGTCAAAAGTGCATGCCATCAACTACAAACAGGGAAATATTAAGAATGGGATGAATAAAACTATGTAAAAAACCAATAAAATTTTGTATATCTCGTACAATATTATGGCATGGCATTGCCTATTTTGACATGTAAAAAAAGAGACTCAGGATGGTCAGCTTGATGTTGGCGAGTCTTCGTATGCAACTCCAGTGGTATCAGCTCTCGGCCAAGAAACTCTTTTTGCAAATAGAAGATATAGTTAAAATAATATAAATATATTTATTAAACTAATTAAAAGCTTTTACCAGTCGTTGTATATATTCAGTATGAGAAACATATCCTTCCAGTATGAAGAGAGCTTTCTAAACCTCCTTAATTAGATGCTCTATTTAGCTTATTTTCTCTCTTAACTTTTTGAACTCGGGGCTCACCCAAGCTCTACTCAAATTTTCCCATAATCCCTCTCCAATCCATAATGGATGCTGACAATACATTTTAATGTCTATGAATATGTCCCTAAGATGAGTTGATCCTCTCATCTTAAAATTTGTTCTAATCCTCATGTCATGCTCAGGAAACCACCTAAAATTTTTCAGTAAAAAAATATAGGCATAATAAATAACATTAATATAAATTAAATTAAATATTTTAGATCATGCCAAATAAATATACCTAAAATTCTCTAAATCTTATATCCCTAATTTCCTTTGAGATCTTCTTTCATGATAAGTTAGGAGCATCATATTTTCTCCATATGTTGTCCAAAATCTTAAGGATAGGTGGCCTTGAGGAATTGAAGTTGTAGGTTAAATTTTTTATCAATAATATATAAAATATCAAATTATAATAACTTTATAAAATAAATTAAAATTATGTATTGCCCTTAAGTCTATGTTGTTTAAGGTTCAGTCTTTAATTTTTATCTTTAAGTGTCACTAAAGTTATGGGATAAGGAGATAGTTTTATTTCTAACCCTTAGGACATTCGTACGTATATCATGAAAGTTCGTTAGGGATGTTAAGCCTTTATGAACTTAGTCCCAAGCTAACCAAGAGGGGGGGGGGGGGGGGTGAATTGGTATTTTAAAATTTCTTTTCACAAAGAATGAAAATCACATAAATCAAAATCACACCACAAAAATAAATGTGTTGTGTTGATCAAAGTTGAAACTGCCGTAATTTAATAATAGGATTACATTAAATATTGAAACTTGAGACACATGAATAAGGTTGTAATACATGTTCTGATTATACATACTTATTTTGAGCTAAGATGTATATTCTTCTACATAAATAGCTATCAATAACAGAGACTTATAACCTAAATTTCAAAAATAAAAATTAAGAATTTGTAATGAATGCTTTCATATAAGCATTTCTCTATAAGGAATTCCTTAAAGAAGTTGTAAAAAGTATATGTATCATAATTAAAGATCTAATAACTAAAGAAAATCCTATAGATACATAAAGAAGATACATCTTCCTATTCTTATAAGTGTAACATGTATAAGATAGATATAATAACCAAAATATGTATAAGAATCTCAAGTACATGAACCTCAAATTTGTTCTTTCTGTTTATATATTTTCTCATTCAACATTGTCAAGTAGCATAAAAAAATGAAGTACAAAATGATATGTCAGTAGAGAAAGGATAGCAAAAGCATGTAATTGATTAAATTTTGGAA